TGGGCTACGTGCATGTCTCGGGCAAACAGAAGGCTGCAAATGCGAAGCCCCGCGCCATGCTGCCTGGTCTTGTCGCCCCCCCCATTGCCGCCCCGGCCGCGCTTCGTCGCGGGGACCTCGCGCTTGCCGGGCGGGCCAGTTCAGGGGGTTTGCCAGTCCATCCCAACAGGTGGGGGGATGCGGTGCGTTGCGCGTGTATTTTGCGGGCGGGGAGGGGGCGCCGTCTCTGCTAATGTCGCCGACGAGTGTCCCCGTCCGCAGCCCGCCGAATCCTGGGGCGCCCGGGCGCCTGCCAATTTCGCCAGATGGCGCGTTTCAAATTGACAGAGTCTGGTGCGCACTTGCGCAGCCACTCCGCTCGGCAAATCCTGTCCGCGCCGGGGGGATGTTCACCGCGCGCTGACCATGTCGTTCGGGCTTACCGCTTGAGTGACACATGTGGGGGCGAAAGTGGCAGGGCCCAATCAAGGCGCAGCGTGGCCCGCTTTGCTGCGGAGGTGCAAGCGTTCCTGTTGCGCCCAGGCCGTTAGCTCCACGAGCTAGCAGAAACTATGCCGCGCGCCACTGCAGCGGGCCCGACGCGGACAGGATCTCGAACCCTCGCACTGCGAAGAATTCGGCGGACACGTGCAAGACAGGGCGGGGGACGACGGCGGGAGTTGGTCAGGAAGCTGCGCAAACTTCGACGGGAAGTCCGCTCGGCATCGACAGCCCGTCGGCCCCTCAAGTTCCAGGGCCCCAGGCGAGCGTCCCAGGTGCCCATGCCGATGTCTGCGCGCGCAGATGCCAGCGAAGTTGCGGACGGGGGCCGCGTGCGCGCGGAGGCCGAGATATTCGGCGTACCCGGGTTTGGCGACGAGGGCAACGTTTTCGATGCCTGGGAGGAGAGGCCCCAACGTTGATGCAGCGCAGGTAGAAATCTATCAGCTTATGGTATTGGTGGCAAGCCGCCGAGTTTGCGCCGCGCGCTGCAGGCGCGTGCCGCGCCCTTTGCAGGGGCGGCTGCGGGGGTGGACGGCGTGCCTCTGGAGGTTTGCCACGCGCTGCCATTCGTCGCATGCGCATTCTATTGGTCATGCTTCCGCCATCGGCAGACGCATCCCTCGCGCCGCGCTCTCGGCTTGGAAAGTCGTGGAGTACGTTGGTATGCCGCGAGCGGATTCCTGAGGGGCCTTCAATTTTGCCGAGACCCCGAGGTGGATAAGAAAGGCGGCTAACCAAACATTGTACCGACATACAATGCGAGAGCCAATGCGTTGCCGCGTTCAGCCCATCGATACGGTCGCCTATGGGTTCAAGCGGGGCATGCGCACTACGGGCGTCGCCGGCGTCATTGGGCAGGTCCTGCGCGCGGCGTGGAAGTTTCAGCCGACGTCTGTTTTCATGGCCTGGATGGACATCGAGGCGACCTTCGACGACGTGCGGCGGAAATCTGGACACGGCGATGAAATTGAAGCGGATTTGCCCGCTGTCATTCGCAGCGTCTTCTGCGATCTCTTTGCGCTCCTGGCCAGGGTCAATCTCCCGGGCGCAAGGTGACCGACTCCATCCCTTTTGCCATGGGCGGCCAGCAAGGTGGCGTGGACACCCTGGACCTCTTGGACCTGGTCGTGGGGTGCCTCGAGTGGGATGCGTATCAATAATGGACTCAGCGGGGGTATGGCGTGTTCTCTGACGCATGGTCGCCCCGCCCCTTATTTGATTTGGCGCGATCGCATGTTTTTTTGTTTTTGCGGGGTGCCCGCCCAACCCTGGATGCCAGGATCAGAAACCACGACCGCGACCTCGATGCCGACGGTTTCCGCTGGAAGGACACGTCGCTGGACGCCATGCATGGGAGGCGGGGGCGCCGCGCGCGACGATCTGCGCGACATTGCCTGCCTAGGGCGACAAGGTTGGACGCCGACAGATCCGGCTGCGCTACTCGCCGAGCGCAGCTGAAGGCAACGATTGGGGCACTTCGCACGCATTTCGAAGCTCCGGTCTGGTGGGCGAGACGCTGGAAGCATGGCGCCGCGGACCCCGAGCGCCCGCAATGCGCGGAGTGCGCGCGCGGCACCTCGCCGGCGACCTCACGCGCGCGCTGTGGTCTCGGGGGCTGAAGTGGTTGAGTCGGGGACATCGAACGAATAGGAAGCAGGGCGAACATCGCGCTGGAGGCTCCCTGGGCTGGTTAACGATGACTCCCTGGTTAACGACGACCCCCTGGCTGCGTTCGACGCTTCGCTTCGGCATGGTGCGGGGGGCGCCCTCCACGGCAAGCTTGGACGAGGGGTGGATTCGGGCCCTTCTCTCTGCGGGCGCTGGCAGACTCGGGCTCCGGGAGGCGTCCGAGCGCGCGCTTCCCGCGCGCATTGCCAGCCGGGCCGCCTCGCGGCCGCTCGTCGCAGCCAAGTGTGCTCGCGTGGAGGAGGGGGGTTTGGGGCTTGCGCCAGGCGCATGTGGGAGTGCGACAGGCGCGCGTGCGCGGCGGCGCAAAGGTGGCGGGGCGCCCCCCCCGCTGGCGTCCACGACGCCGCGCGCGCTCACATCGACGAAGCAGCCGCGCTGGCAGAGCGCCGCTGGCGGAGCTGGCGCGCTGGCGAAAGGGGGGGGGGGGCTGGGGGCGGGCGGGCGCGCGGCCAGCCGCGGGCCCGGCGCTGCCGCCGTTGCCGAGGCGGGCGAGGAGGGCCCCGCCCTCGGGGTCGCGGCGCGCTGCCCCTCCAGCCCGACCTCATCAGAGAGGCGGGCCGCGCGGTGGCCGCTGAACACTTCCCGAGCGCGAGCGAGCGGGAACGCCGACGCAGCGCGCCGCCTCCAGGAACTCTGCCACCCGAACCTTGGCCACGATTGTCTGTGGGCCATATTTCCGCGCAAGGGGCGAATTCTGACCAGCGACCAGTTCGCCCTCGCCGTCCGCGTCCGCCTCGGCGCGGGGGGGCCCGACGAGGAGGTGGCGTGCGCCGACTGCGGTGAGTGCGTCATCGGCTCGTCGGGCAGCCGCGGGCTCCTTTGCGCCGGAGGCCCCTGCAATGGTGGACATAATGTAGTCCGTGACGACGTGCGTGGATTGGCCAGCGTTGTTGGCGGCAGCGCACAGCTTGAGCGGGTAGGCCTCGTGAGCTCACGCCCAGTGCTCCGCCCTGCGGACGTTTGGCTGGCGTCCCGGATCCGCCCGGGCGCCTGGCGGCATTGGGCGCGTGAACCATCGCTCCTATGGCGGCGGGGGCAGGCGGCGACTGCGCGGAGACGACGGCGCGCCCGAAGCAGCGCCGAGCCGACGGTTCCCGGGGCGAGCTCGAGGACGTAGGCGTTGAGTACCCGGTCTTGGCTGCGAGCGCTTTTGGGCAATTCCACGACGAATCCCCGAGGGCGCTGCAGTCGATGGCCCTGGCGCGCGCGAGGCGGCGGGGCGTGGAGGCGCACGCGCTCCGCTGGCCGTGGATGAGGACGACGTGGTCGACGAGCCCGCGGACGCGGCCGTGGCCGAAAGGCGCGGGCACCCTGGCGCTGTCCCCGGCGGTTTCGCCGCGGCTCCCGCGGCGGCGCCGGCGGCGGCGGCGGCAGCCCCTGTTTGAAGCGACGACGCGATTGCCGCCCCTCCCCCGCCTCCGCCCGCCCGTCCGTTTCCATCTTCCTCTCCTTCCCCTTCCTGCTGTCCGTGGCGATGGCTGGCCAAGCGGAACCGGACTGAAGGGCTCTTGCAGCGTTCTGGTGGTCATCGATTAGCGTGGGAGGATTCGATTGTAAGTCATTCTGGAGAGGCGTGGCGAGGACAACGGGATGTTTTGACACAGGTCGAGAGGATGCGTCGGAGTGGCCCTTTCGCATTTCATATAGTTGCTAATTAACTGGCAGTTGCCATTGCGCGAGGTTCGGGAGAAACTTCTACGGAAGCGGCCGAGAACCGAATCGACGCAGAAAGAACGGCTAATTTCCGCTGGCTCGAACCTGAGGTCGACGAGCTCCAGGGCACAGTGGGAAGGAGCGTCGAGTAGGGTTCGTCACGGAGATGTTTTTGTAAGTGACCATTTTAAAAAACTTTATCACAAATAGTATGCAGCCACTCGAAGATTCACAATCCAACCTACGAGCCGCTTGTGTCGCGCATATTGGATCGGATCGTAAACCAAAGGTGCACTTGTTGGATACCCCCGAAGTACTTGCAGATCCCGTTCGCTGGCACAAGGAATTCCGCAACCGAGTGGCAGAAAAGGCTGGCGGATTTGACCGTGAACAAACGGAAGTCGTGGAGCCGGCGCTACTGGACGACGCTCCCTGTCGAGATCTCCCGCGTCATCGTTCAAACGGACGGAGTCTTTCGCGACGATTACTGCGCCGCTACAATTTGGATGACAGGCCTTTGGGGTGAAGCCGCTGGAGAATTTATTTTTCGAGCCGCTCGTTGTACGGGGCGCTTTCTTGCAAGTGTCTTGTGCAGTATGTAAAGCTACGGCAATCCCATTAAACCAAGCATCGCGTGAACTGTCAACCCTTCTGACTGTGTGAACGCACCAGGGCTGAAATATAGGTCACAGAGCTTGGTGAAAAAATAAAAACAAAAGGGAGGAGGATGAGGAAGAGACTCGAGGAGGAGGAGGAGGTAGAGGAGGAGGGGGGAGGAGGAGGAAGGACAGTAGGGAGACGAGGAAGATGAGGTGGGACAGGGGACGCGGAGGGAGAAACATGGAACAAATGAGTGGGGATGCGATGTGCGAGTGGAGATGAAAACGACGGGGAGGCGGAAGTGGGTGCTTGTGATGATGATCAAGAGGGTTCGTGATAAAGATGAGGAGGATGATACTATTGGGCATGTTAATGTCGGAAGAACGAAAATGAAGGAGGAGGTTCAGGTGAAGGAGCAACCAGGGTGCAGATGTGCAGGATTAGGGGCGGAACTGATTGACATCGACTTTGTCTGACGTGTTTGAAGAAGAATGGGATGACATGGGAGACAGGACGATGGGGGAGGAGCAGGAGCGGAAGGAATAAGAGAAGAGTTTGCTAGTGGTTCTGCAGAGGACGTGAAGATGCACTCGCAAGACAACAACCGAGGTGCCTTCATAACGTTCGCAACGGCTCCAACAGCCACTCAGGCGCCAGCGATCACGCTGCTGGGGTCAGGATGGGAGAGTGCCGACTCTCACTAAACGTGGGACAGTCGCGAGCAGAGCGAGAGTGTCCTTACCTTGATATTGTTGCCCCGCGTCACACGTAGTCCTCCGCAACTTCCCCCTCCATGTTCATGTTCCGATGTGCCCCTCTCCTTAACCCTGTCCCTGTCTCTTCCCATGTTCCTTTCCCTCTCCAGTTCCTCGATGTCTAATGCTCTCCTGGTGTCGACCGTTGTTGTGGTACAGAGATCGACGGCGGCGGCTGCCGGAAGCGCCGTCCCTGCCAGGCGCGCGCTCAGTTGGATGGCCTGTCCTTGATGGGCGCGCGGCTGCACTGCGTCATGCAGGACCCAGTGCCCGTCTTTCGGCTGATTAGGAAATACGGGGCAGTTGCATCTACACGACATACACGAACACGACATAGCGCCTTGCGCATGCTGGCCCGTGCCTGAATAATACCTGGTGCCATCCCCAACCCTAGCCCATAGTTCGTGCAATGATTCACCAATCGCGTTATGGCTGTTGTCGCGCATGTTGGCAGCATCGCAAACAACCTGAGGACACAATTTCGCAAGCCGGCACCGATGCAAGAGCAACGCCAACACGGGCACGGTCACATGCGAACGCTCACCATCACACTGACGGTTAATACACTGAAGTGCACACATAGCTGCAATCACATGAGCACATGTTCCATCATTACCACCCAGAGTCACTCGTACCAGTACTATCCCCTGTGCATGCGCGCCCACACTTGCACCGTTACTAGTACCATTGTTGGCGCTATGTTTACAGTCGCATCAGAAACGTAAGTGCGGGCGTCAGCACTACCACTGGTACTACAGTCAACCCGCATAGTAGGGATGGGCAACATTCCCAAGAGTAACCTTGCACATTTGCATCCTCGGTCCATCCTTGGCCGCTTTCGTTGGCCGCGCCCCGCTTGCAAAGCTGTGCGAGCT